TTAACGTCCAACGGAGTGGTGGGGATAGCAGGTATGTATATACTACCGCATGAGCCACGCGCACGTGAGCTCGGCATTTCGCACAACTTCGGGAAATTGATAAAGAACGCTAGTGTGAGTCTTTCCTTCTTACTCTAGTACAACTGAAATACGACCTCCAGTGATGCCAGAAAAGCACCGTCGGGTGCACACTCACACATACGCGTACGTGAGCTCGTGGAGTTTCGGAAAGACGACAAAGGCAAACTGACGCATGCCCTCTTTCTCGATTCTCCGAAGCTGCCCGAAGTAATTTCGGACCGCTTCGTGGAAGTCGAGAGAGAAAGGCTCACATTTGCCTTCTCGCTCTTAACAACTGCAATCCGACCTCCAGTCAACGGCATACGATTTGGATTCTCGAGCCGAGATTCTCGACTGCCCAGGCATTTTTACTTTCCGACCTATGTAGGCGCACATAAGCAAAGTACCCATAATGAAAAAATAATGTTGTAAAATTTATTTTACGGAAATACACGTTTTAAGACCTCCTGATCATATTTTAATTATTGAAAAAAAAGAAATTTTTTTTATTCCCATGTATGAGCGCACATATGTATATTATTAATACGATTTTTGAAAATCAAAATACTTTACGATTGAAAATTAATAAATTAAAATGAGATTCCACTCTTTACCAGTATTGTGCACGCTGTGGCATTTTTCAATAAGAAGAGTTCTTACTTTTATAACATAAACAAAACAGTAGAATTAATAATTGCAGAAATTAATTAATAATGATTTTCCTCGATTGTTTTGAGATAACCGTATCAATTTGTTATGACGAACTAAATAGAACTAACTAGAAACAAAGGAAAAGTGATACCGTTTGCCAGTTTAATACAAAGTATGGGTTGTATCATAAATTTTAAAAGGACATAGTCGAATATTTTTAAAGGTACAAAACATAGCGTTTCATTGTAGAACAGTAACATAAGTTAGCAGGTAATGTCATAAAACTGTTTTTCCCAGCTATATCCCTTTTTACCTGAAGTATAAGGTAAAAAGTACGAGCTACAAGGTACGACTATCCGAAAATCGTTCACATTTTATCAATGTAAATGAAGCGGCCTTTCCATCAGAGTTAAATACAAAATTTTGTTATTTCTGTGAAAACAGAACTTTCATTAGATGTAGGTGGTGCTTGAAATTGTTATGTTTTCACTGTTTTTACGAAAAGTACCATCCAGATTCATGTACTTCGTACATTGAAAATAACATATGTTAAATGTAATTGGTTAAATTCAACTTAAAAAAAAAAATATTCGATGGTCAGACAAAAATATAATGTCACATTTAGTGTACGATTAAAATATGATTGAAAAAATAAAAAAAAAGGATTTGTTTTGGCAGGGTTTGAACCTGCAGAGCAGAAGAAGCTCGGAACTTGCAAGCAAATACCTTGTCATTCACGCCACGCTGGTTGTTGAATGTATTTCTATTTCTGAAGATAAGTATCTGTAATAACTTTAATAATATCTCAAAGTAAAACCTGACCCAAAATCGGGTACCATTCCAACTTTTCCTTGTTAGAACCGAGTTTTCAATTTGTCTTAGCGAAAATCGTAATCACATTTTGCACATTATTCTAAAACATTTGTGGTATTCGTTTTCAATGCGATTTAAGTAAGCATGTAATGTATAAGATTTCAATTAATTTTTTCTTTTCTAGAGAAGATAGAGAAAAAGTTTATATAATTTTTTTTATATGTAAGGCGTCGGGAAAAGGCGAGGCCCAAGCCGAGGCGCTAACAAGGGACCGCGTCTGGCCTTCGTCCGTCAACACTCCCACCCCTACCGATGGGGGAGAAGGCTGACGACAAAGGCGAGGGTCTAGGCCAGCGGTCGGGGAACCGGGGTAAATTACCCCAAATGGGGTAAAAATGAAACTTTTGTGAGTAAAAAGTATATATTTTTAATTTGCTATTTTATAAACCTGTTAGTATTTTTTTCAACTTAAACAATTTAGCGACATATGCAGGCCACGCCATCTCACTCCCCACCACTAAGTGTTCTCGAGTTATATCTTTGCGCAGTAAAGCACAGCCCCGGCTACCTGCTCAGTCCATGTCATACCATCAAGATACAAATACATTGACAAGTCAGAGACCGAGTTTTTACTAATTAGTTTGTAGCGGTCGGCGGCAAAGAAGAAAGAGCCTTCCGCTCGCTGCCGGGCCGAGCGATAAAGATATGTAAATAAATAAAAAAGATCCCGAAAAAAATCATTTAAATTAAAAAAGCTTTTTTATGGGGGCTATTTATAAAATTTAAACTAGTTTTTTCGTCTAATAATACAAGAAAAATATCATATGAATTATAAAATAACAAGAAATTATCATTTACTTATATTTTCTGTGGGGCAAATTTTTTTTTCCTCAACTGTATATTACGTATATTACTATTATTACCGTTATGTATTACTAGGTATTACATTGATAAATTGAATAAATGATGTTTAAATTAAATTTTTAGTTATTGTTTTCTTTTCAAAATTATCATGGGGGCTATAATATGAAAGATGCTAAAAAGAGGCGATTTCGTTTTTTGCTCTTCGCCATGGGTAATATCAACTTACACAAAAATATTTTGGGGTAATGATTAAAAAAGTTCCCCGACCGCTGGTCTAGGCCCAGGACGGGCTCATTTGTTTTTCCGACGCTGAAAGAACGGGAATAAAGCATGTATACGAATACCCTGCGTATTTCTTAATTCCTAATTCCATTCTACGCGTCTGTCTAACATATATAAAATTTAATTCGTTGTAAGATTTATATGAAACATTTAAAAGATTTTTTATACATTATGCCTATACATATATCGGAACAACTATGAAACAAGAGGTATAATCATTATTATCCATGGACTAATTATAGTCAAAGTCTAACCGGACTTTGAAATGAGAACATAAAACTTAAATGTAAAGTTTCATTTAAATTCATTTAGCTATTTATACACAATCGTAATAATAATATACATATGTGTGCTCATACATGGTAATAAAAAAAATTTCTTTTTTTTCAATAATTAAAATATGATCAGGAGGTCTTAAAACGTGTATTTCCGTAAAATAAATTTTACAAAATTTTTTTTTCATTATGGGTACTTTGCTTATGTGTGCCTACATAGGTCGGAAAGTAAAAATGCCTGGGCAGTCGAGAATCTCGGCTCGAGAATCCAAATCGTATGCCGTTGACTGGAGGTCGGATTGCAGTTGTTAAGAGCGAGAAGGCAAATGTGAGCCTTTCTCTCTCGACTTCCACGAAGCGGTCCGAAATTACTTCGGGCAGCTTCGGAGAATCGAGAAAGAGGGCATGCGTCAGTTTGCCTTTGTCGTCTTTCCGAAACTCCACGAGCTCACGTACGCGTATGTGTGAGTGTGCACCCGACGGTGCTTTTCTGGCATCACTGGACCTCACGATAGTCATTATACGATTCCAAGTCTCGATTGACCCAGCATTTTTACTCTCCGACCTATGTAAGGTGTATCATAATGAAAAAAAAATTTCGAAAATTTTTTTTAACGGAAATACACGTTTTAAAACCCCCCGATCATATTGTGACTGTTAAAAAAAGAGAAATTTTTGTTGTTCCTATGCTATTGACATGATTGCGTCTAAACGGCTAAATAAATTTCAATAACGAAAAAAAAATTTCAAATATTTTTGTTAGCGAAAATACACGTTTTAAGATTCCCCGATCATATAATTATAGTTCTTAAAAAATGCAAATTCAATTAATTTATTTATTCTTTGGGTTTCATTGATAACATATTATTAAATGAGTTTTTATCGTGTTGTTTCTGTATAATTGCCAACTTTTATGATATGTTACAGTTTTGAATTATTGGATATGCTGTCGAAGTGTGACACAGTCATTCAAACGTACAATCCTGTAGTTATTTTCAATTGCATGCGAACAAATAAAAGTAAAATACAAATGCAGCAGGAAATACATATCCCAAGTATATAAGATTTTGTAGAATCTTATCGAGTATAGTTTTATAGGGACCTGCCTTAGTAGGTATCGTCCTTTTCTTTGATGTCCTTCGACAGGAAATCGGTATCAGCGATTGATCACGCGTGAATTTTTTGCTGATACACGTGTTGTGACTAGTCGGTCGTTATGGATACGTTGTACAGAGACTATTGTACGGACATTGTATACGTCGAACACACCTCGTTTTCAGGCTAGTGTCTTCGTTCATGTGAGCGACCAAATGTGTGTGTCGCCCTATAGAATGCGAATAGCTGCGTCAGAGGAATCCCCGTATCGTCACTCGCCTTCCGGTCTTCATCAGACGTGTCACGCATCTTTTTCCTGATCCTTACTAGTTGCTCTGGCACGATTTATTTTTACGGAACCGGTGCAAACGGTTCGAGCCTCGCTTCCTGGAAGTCAAGGTAAGTGTAGATAAATAACATAATATAAGGCATGATCTACTTTGTTAATCACAAAGGCTTATACAGTGTGTATAACTCAATATTTAAAAAAATTTGTATGATAGCAGTATGCCTTCTGAAGTTTTTCTATAAAAATGATTCGTCGCAGACATGTTAATTAAACTTATCAGTAAGGCTTATCTAAACGTGATCCTATTAATCGTTTAACGAACGCGGTAGTTTTATAGTACATAATTGGTTCGAACACATTAATACTATCAATCCTTAGCTAAGGTAGGATCTGTTAGGTAAACCTTATCGATGTGCTCAATTAACAGATCCAGGACGCAACAAAGCAATATTGTTTCTTGTACCAGAATTCTCACTATTATAAAGTCATGAACTGATAATGAGAGTATACAAATGTTTAAATTATCTCAATATACATAAATAAATAGGAAGATAGCTTAATCGTAAAGAATATAAACTATTATTTGCAATCTGTTGATTAATGCAATCAATAAATCGACGCTATAGTTGTTTATCTAAGTTTCAAACCAACACGCCGATTTGTGTAATCGAGCCTCATTACACGTTAGTTTTCAAGCACTTTGATTATTATTTCCGCTCTACCGTTGAATTTCTAAATAATTAATGGAGACAATTTGCGCATACTTGCGGCCAGCACGTAACGCCAACTGTTCCTGATCGATCGGCGAAGTGCTAAGTCGATACGAAATTACGTTCAAACTGGTTCAATATTTTTCCGCCACCATACTCTATCGGAACCAATTTTCCACACTTTGCCTCCATTTAATTAAGTAACTGCGCGTGGATGGCACTGGTTAACGAAGACAGGCAATTTGCCGCGCCTTGCAATTAAATAAAATGGCACCCAATTCCACTAATACAATGAGTTGCAGTTTCAAGCGACTTTCCAAAAAGGAAACGACACGATAATCATGTTTGGTACAAGCAGGGCCTCCTAGAAACCAAGGACTTAATACTGGTATGATTTCGATGAAAATTAATAATTTTTCTTCACGCGATATAAGTCTCACTTAACTTTAGTTTACGAATATCTCGAAAAGATTAACAAGATTTAACACAAGAACTTAACTTAAACTGATTCTTCGATCAGAACGTTTTGTAAGAATTATTTTCGGAACCTTTTCAAGTCCTATTTATAGCTGCATCGATTGTCTAAAACAGCGAACGATTTAATCTTGCGTGTCGTATCCATGTTTGTTTAAGTTGTACGGAGAGAGATAATTATCTCATCTCGATTCCCCCTTCTTTTCTCGGATACCTGAGTCACAACCGTCACGTGAGTCAAGCGCTAGTTTCTCTTTCCAGGGATGTTCTTCTACAGACCGCAGAGTGCAACAACAAGGCAACAGACTGAGATGATCAATAAGGCCCAACGGGCCGTACACACAACCACGGATTCCATAGAGAAACTTCGCTTGCTCTGCCTGGCCAGAGGTGCCAATGGCATCCTCGGACTGGGTAGGTAAGTTGAAAATTTATTTTCTTCTTTTTCTTTTTACTTCGCTATAGAACGAGAAACGATTCTCGTGTGTGTTTTATAAAGTGCATGCCGTAATATGGATTGCTAAGTGTGTGAAATATAATTTCCTTTCTATAAACTCAGGAAGGTGGTTCTATAGGAAGTAGATTGTACTGTGAATAGTCAAACTCGCTTCACTGGTATTTGTTTCGTGAAACAAACAGATTCCGTATGTAAACAACGTTTCATTAATGCAGTATAGTTATAAGATTTCATGAAAACATCTGCTGACTTTATGGAAATTTCGGGCAGTGTTTTAGCGTGTTCTCTTTTCTCGATCGTAACAGACGAATGATTCAGACGACTGGAATTTTTAATTATATGTTAAATCATATGTCGCTCTTGTATCTCCTAATATGGAATGCTCAAAAGCAAGTTAACTCATATAATTGTCCGTTCGCAGAGCGTTTCGTATCATGGACGATGATGGCAATAAGAAACTAAGTCTTGAAGAGTTCACGAAAGGCTTGATGGAAGCCGGTCTGGATGTCTCGGAAGATGAAATTCAAGAGATTTTCAATAAAATCGACACCGACGACGATGGAAACATCAGCGTCGATGAATTCATCGTCGCTATAAGGGTACGTAGATGTTTCCGTTCGATACGTTTCGTGAAACTTTCATTCTGATTGGAGAAATGGTTACGCAGCCTCCAATGTCCCAGAGCCGCAGGAACGTGGTAGATCAGGCTTTCCAAAAACTGGACAAATCCGGCGACGGGTTAATCACGTGCGACGATCTAAAAGGCGTGTACAACGTTAAATGTCATCCTCGTTACATAAGCGGAGAAGAAAGCGAGGAGAGCATATTGAACAAGTTCCTAGGTAATTTCGAGCAGAACAACACAAGAGACGGCATTGTAAGTGGATTTAGATCACTTTAGGATGACTCATACCGTTCTACTCTATAACAGAGGTTCTCGATCGCTTTAAAGACGCGTAGCAAATGTTAAATTGCTGTTGATCGAAATATTAGGATCATCTTTAAAAAGTATTTATCATAAAAATATAGTATGAATTATATTTAACATTAGCTACCTTAACCCTATAAGTTAGAAACACTTTTTGTATTAATAATTTCCTTTCGTACTCCCCTTGGATTATAAGACACCCCTCGTAAGGGTAGTATCCCCCAGTTTAAATAACGCTGCTATATAAAGTAACAAGTAACCGTTTTCATTTAAAAAATAACTGTTTATACGTTGATTACAGGTTACCAAGGAGGAGTTTATGAATTACTATAGTGCGATTAGCGCTAGTATCGATCACGATGCGTACTTCGATCTAATGATGCGCAACGCTTACAAACTCTGAACCACCGGTACGGCGTCTTACAAGAGACGTAGGTTTCTTGTAGCATTTAGCTACGACATAATATCTATTCGGTTGCTGTTACATAACACAGAATTATTGGCTTTGCGAAGGACGTCAGGTCATGGCCAATGCCAACGTTCGAAGAACATACCATGTGGCTTCCCTAGCTCGGTCGTGTCCAACGTTTTGCAAACTGACAGCATGTAATATCGTGCACCTGAAGTTCAGTGTGACCAATAATGACATATCGATTTGCAAACAGTGGACACGATTCATTCCCTTGTGTCACAAGGCTTTTCTTATCTAACAATTAACGATCACAACTTCGCTTTAAGGCTCAGTTTTTGCGTGGGTAATTATACTTAATTATCTAACGATTAAAGCATCCTGCAAGAAAAAGAACACAAAATAAATAATTCTGTATAAACGAGACTCCGTTGTCGAGCGGTACTCTGAAAATAAATTATTTCTTCTTAACCGTTTGACGTTCACTCTTTTTCGACTAAACGATAATAAAATACCTAAATATACAATACAAATTTTATATTCAGTTATACTTACTCTTCGATGCCCAGCTAAATTCGTGTTTGCGGAAAAATGCAGTGTACACAGAGTAGAGAGTTGTACAGTTAAGAGGGTATTCTGGTCTAGAAAGTCAAATTTTATATCTTTGCCGGGAACTTATTGCAAAATACCGTAAAACTTTGTTATATGATTTTTAGAACACATATTCATTACTATTTTATGTATATATATATTATTGTCTTCAACTGAAAATAATGAGAATTACGTATGCTATGTGTGATTAAATCTAAGTATATAAAGAAAAGTGGTCTAACGCTGTGCAAGATGCCAACCGTTCTGTTAACCTGTAACAAAAAAAGCAAAATAGCACTTTGATTAGTATGAATATAACTATTGCGTGTACCACGATAAATACAACATTTCGGCACATTGAAGTTTGAGTATCACGGAGCATGTGAATACGTGCATGTGTGGCACGATTAAGTAACCGAGCTATAAATAATGCTAACAGGAAAACATTCCAATAAACTTTAACTTTTATATCTCGGTAACAGAGTTACAGATTACAAAATATTAATGACCTCTTTGATTTCTCTTCGCGCAAGAAATCGATCCTGAAAAAGAGTACCACACTTTCATTACCACCAAGTATATACATATGTATAAATATAGATCTATAAATTACGATTTATGTATAGTATCTAAGGAACAAAAGTTGGTTACAGGGTCCAATGCAGTGAAAACGTATTATATAGTTGTACAATAGTATAAATACACATATGCAATGGACGTACGATCTATCATACTCAAAATCGCAAACAGTACGTCGAATATTTCGATTGGACAAAACACAAACGCAATGTTTCTTTACAATTAAGTTTGTAATCTCGATACTACAGCATGAACAACAAAATTAAGAAAATGAAATTACAAGAATTCTTTTGTTTTTAAACGGAATGAAAACTTTACGGTTCAGAGTTGAGTATGATGCGATTAATTTCATTGAAGTAATTAATCGATTAACGGAACAGTTAATTCAGCTGTGCTAGAATTATTCAATTAAACATTACTATCGTCTATGTTTTCATATCTGCGATATTTTCTTAATTTCCCTTAGTTTTACATAAATGATAGTAGCATACATTTCCATATGTACTTCAAAATTTCGCTACTAAAGTAATATGTATTATTATTAATCGTTCACATGACATTACATAATAAATGAATTAATAAACATTCCAAGTGATATTTATTAAATCGCCACTATCTTGATTCATTTATATCAAGGAAAAGAATTAAACAATATGTGATATATAAATAATTAAAGGACCTATCAATATAAGTATATATTAATTTTTCGCGAAATAATTTGTCGAGACATCGAACGGACAGTTGAGATGACTGACATTGCTCTCCCCTCTCTTCCGCCATTTTACATGAGGCATATGTGGGACTGCTTTGACCAAAATTTCTCAGTTTTGTGACGGTCTCCGGGGAAGGTGGATCAATGCGGACCACTACTGACCACTATTGACCAATGGTGACCACTTGCTGACCAGTGGTAAGAAGTATTTAAATCTCCCCCCTCTCTTATTTTACTCATCCAAAATTTACTTGTTTAACTTTGAGTACCGTTTGACGAAAAATTGATTTTATTTAATTTACTTGCTCCCTTTAAACGAAATAATTGCTTGACATAACTAAACCAGAAGATCGAAGGAACTCTACTTCCTTCTATCTCTCTAGTTTAGTAATCTAGTTTCTAAGAATGTAAAAGAGAGATAGATGGAACAGGCCTTGAATGTTTTAAAATTGAAATTTGGCGATTGACGCTTCGGTATGTTCGGTCATATGTGTACAAACATATATGTATCATAGACATATACATATAGTCATAATCATAGTCATATATGTACAATCTCGTGTATCAAATGATATGCATTCACCAATCATTAACTCACATTTTGAGACAGGAAAGTCCATAAAGTGTAAGGTCTACTTGTATACCTCGTCTGTGATCATACTGCCTGACAAGCACTATATTATTTTACTAAGCATCTTCAGGAATCTTAGATACTTCTCATTTTCTTATACTCTTCTCAATATCGTTGACTTTAATACGTAGATATTAACCCTAATTAGAGTAATGGAATATCATTCAAGGAGAGGTAATGCTCCTTTGAATACGATGATTATTATGTGTGACGGATAAATCTTAACTCGTATGCAAAATGCATATTTTTTATGCGAATCTCGCATCGTCTCGACATTCATTCTGTTTACGTAATCTCTTTTTTGCCCGTAATTGTTATGTCGAGCCTTATAACAAATGTAACGACGAATAGAAAAAAAAGAACTATTACACCACGCGTGTTATTGATATAACTTACATCACTGGTGTGATACTTCATCGATACATCGATTCGTCTATCTATTAATAAAAATATGTGATCTTAACTGTGAATATAAAATAAAAATGTTGAAACAAAAATAAAAAAAGAAATTGCATCGGCCGGGAATCGAACCCGGGCCGCCCGCGTGGCAGGCGAGCATTCTACCACTGAACCACCGATGCTTCTTGTCTATTATTGTATAACCACAAGAATGTAAATGCATAATATAGACTACATTCGATAACCTATAGAATTAACTATTATAGAATTTATAAATGTATAGATTACATTTAGATTAACATTACATTTAGAAATAGGGGAAAAAGAAAATCTACTGTATAGTGCATCTTGGTATGTTGCTGTCATATCAATATGTTTTTTGTAAAATAAACTTACGCGGAACAGTGTATACAATAAAATAAAGAACAATGTTATGCATCTAGAACAATTTTACCTTCTTTTCTTTTTTTATTTATGCTGCTAACCGCGTCACAGTCGGACTTTACTCTTCGGATACCCTGCAAACGATCTTCTCCATTAGCGGACTTTGCCCCCTGATGCAGGATCTTTCATTTCGAAACGGTTCTGTTATCTACGAACCTTGTCCGCTGAATTAGGAGTACGGACACATTTTGGTGATGAAAAGTACAAATTTCAATTCACAGGACATAGCTCCGATAACTTTATATAAATAACCTTCAGAGGAATCTCTTCCTCAATTCCATTTGAACAACGATGCCCATACCATCATATATGTATGTATGTTCGTCACAATGCTCTAATGTTTCTATAGTGTATTTTGGATCAAGATTTTCACCTTTGCAACGTCCGACATATGTATAACATTTCATCAAAAAACTGAAAAAATATCATTAAGTCGTTAAATCTAATCAATTGCACATTGGTTACTATTTAGCATCGATAAGATTATGTGATTAGTAGAATGAACTATTCACGAGGCATTCTAAATGTCGCCAAGACAAAAAAGCGTAATGCTAACTATAGCAATCAGTTACGAAATAATAACAGATCTCATGAGCGGTATAAGCGCAACTTCATTAACAAATGATTACAATATGGACAAGTCAATAATTACAGACACTGAAAAACAGAACATCGCTATTGAAAAATACTTGCATAAGACATGTACTTCTACTATAAATAACAAATTTTTAAAGAACTTTTAGCAATTTACATATTTAAGAGAAATTTACAAATTTGCAAAGTTGTAAAAATTTGAAAATTCATACATCTTATAAATTTTATTCTGCATCTGTTGTTTTATAGAGTCACTCTTGAACCGTTAAACAACAAAAACCGAGTATGTACTTCGTAAGACGTATTAATATTCATTTCTGTTATGCATGGCCAACGTTGTTTATTTAGATGATATAATCATTATCTTGGACATGACGTTTCAAATCCATATGCGGTCGCTTGCTTAGTTGACTAGAATTCGAAAATCACCCACCGGAAGTAACACCTGCAAGTATTTCAGCCGCTTATATTGGTATGAAGCTACAGATTGCAAAATAGTTGATAAAAATTAAAATTCCCCGACGGAGAATCAAACTTCGGTCTCTCGCGTGTCAGACGAAAATACTAACCACTGTACCATAGAAAAATCTTGGTAAAATATTTTTCAAATTAAGATTATATATTTTCATTAAATGGATAATTCGCAATTTTCTTTTCCATTTTCAAATTACTCCGATACCTGTAAATTTCATCATTTACGAGCCCATTAAATTGCTATTGCGTTCAATTCTAAACTCGTATCTTTCAAGCTAAAAAAACAGTTTCACTTTTCTCGGTAATTTAACCTATTTCAACAAGTCTTTCCGACAAGACAAGTTTAAAACGTCGGAAATCCGCAGAAATTCGAAACTTTGAGGTATTTAACATAATCCACATGAAATTAGAGCACGGGAACTATGGCTGGGGGTAGAAGGGAGCATACATGAAGTTTATATAAGTTGAGCGCACGCGCCCAGTAGCTTCAGTATCGAAGTGTCGTTCATGCATGTTCACGGAGTGTCGTTCTGTCCTCTGCTTCTCCAATCACGTCTCGCTCTTTCGTTTTCGTTCTTCTCCCTTTCACCGATTTTCCGAGCAACGCTGACACATTGCTGTACGCCTCTCATAACAAACAGTGGCAGCACAACGCATAAAGCCAACACGACAGTAATCGTGATGCGTAACTGAAGGTGCATTTCCATTTCGTTCGTGTCGTATACGTGCATATTTCCTGCGAAGATACTTCGCAGGCACAGTGGTTTCGACGTTGAAAAGAGTCCACAATACTTTCCGCCCGAACGTGGTGCTGTGTGAAAAGAAAAAATTGGAAATGACCAAATACTCGACAGTCACGGCCGTAGTGTTTCTTTGCGGTAAGTTCGACGGACCTGTTTTTACGTTCGAAAACGTAGATGGTCCTTCATTTTTGTTTTCTACTCGTTGATAGAATCTGTGACGATGATTCATGACGCATAGTGCATGTAAAACAACAAAGGGAACTGTGTGTGTGAACGAAAGAGAAAGAGACAGATGGTCAAAGAATTCGATGCTCGTAAGATAATAGCTTTCGAAGCTTGTGTTAGGAATAATTTATAATACCGGTGACTTAGGTTTGAATGCCAAGGACTGACTATGCGTTACGTGTTTAATCAGATTCGATTTGCAACGCGAACATTTGTTTCTTGTGTATGTGCCTTTTTAAAGAATCCTGGCATTGTTTTGCTGAGGGCGCTATGCTAAACTTAAATCGTAGTCGATTTGCGATCAAGAAATGCTAGCGACCTTCGATCATATTCGCATAATCGATAAGAGTCATCATTGCTGAGACATCAAGTCCACCATCGAAATATCGAATTGTCGATTCGACAGACGATTAAAATCGATTTGGGCCTTAATTGTTCAGTGTGACAATTATTTCGTGTAAAAATCTTGTATTAGTATCGAGTAACAATTGCTATCATCGATTACTGAATTCTTTCTTTCCGCCGGCTTGACTCTTATCATTATGATACACGTGTGACGAATACATATCGATTTAACTTCCGTACTTTGTACCCTTTAGTTACTGTGTACATACATTTGAATTCATTCAATTATTTTTCGTAGAAAACAACAAAACAAAGAAAAATTCGTATGCGTATACAATGACGTACAGTAAGCATAATATATTGATGTCCGTGCTACTAAGTTTGCGTATTAGAATTTATGATTCATGTTGAGCCTTTTAGCTATAGATTCTATGATATACTTCGTAGCTTACCCGTAAAAACAAAGCAGAAACTGCATATGTAGATACAAGTAAAAATAACATTTCGATTAAACCTAAATATGATTTTTCAATGCGAAGTAAAATTAGATATGTCCTTGAAAAATATGTAGACAGAAGGAAAGATAATTTGCAATTACAGTGACGTGCTTTTTTTCGCCTTTGTCGATGCATACTAACAGATTTTAAAACCGATCTGTAGAGCTTCGACATTTCAAGCTCAAGCCGTAAAAAGGCAGCTAGAGGTTATATACGTAGACCTTAATCTTTTGTAGTCTAATTTTCATTCATGTATAAGACGTTTTATTAAATTAATTTTTAAATCCGTGTATCAGAGGGTCATCGATAATTCGTCGTTCAACAGTTACCTTAACTTAGAAAAAAATATTTCGTCGTGATTTTAATGTTTTTTGAAAGATTTAGGCTGTGAAAATTTATTTTGTTTAATCCATCAATGTCATAAATCGAATTAATTTGAATTTCTATTTTTATTTCAGGTCTCCTTGGGCACACCAATTCGCAAGGAAATGAACCTATTGTAGACACAGTATTAAACAAAGTTTCAAATGTCATAGATTTGAACAATAGTAACGCATCAGTGATCTCAGTTGTAGAGAATCTGAATACATCCGCGATTCCAGAACTTAATGAGGCAAAAAGCCTATTCAAACAAAAATGCAATAAAAATGGAGGAGAAGGTGCATTTGAAAATGCTGATCGTGCCAAGGATGAGATAATGCAGTGCCTTAAATCATTCGTCAACATTACGGTACTACAAGAAGAAATGGAAAAATATAAACCTACTGGAGATTTGGATATTGTGTTCAAAAATTACTGCCGCAGAACTCCTATTCTTAAGAAGTGTGTGAGCAACTTTACAGCAGCCATAGAACCTTGTTTGGAACCAAAAGAAAGGGAAAATAAGAAAATAATTCAAAATATCACTGACTCTCTCCTCAGTTTTATATGCTTCAAGGAAGGAGATCGCATTGCCCGTATGTGACAAATATTAAAACATTTGTACATATATTACCAACAACTTTCAGAAATTAATTAAATAAAATTCGTATTATTCAGTTTTTATATCTGCCGATGGACCAGAATGTTTACAATCAAAGCAACAAGAAATTGAAAATTGTGTCAATACTACATTTGGAAATTACTTACCCCCTATGGATTCTAATAATAGACTTTTAGGAGGATTGGACAGCCTTCCATCTCTTATTCTTGGACCTAAGGAATGCACGTACGTAAATATTAAGCTATGTACATTGATTTAAACTTTTGAATTGTGTTTATACATCAAATTGTATTAAATATTTATGTACAGGGACGTTTCTACTCTTAAAACATGTATCGTGAATGAACTGGAAAAATGTTCAGACCCAACACCAGCAAACATTGTAGACTCTATATTTAATTTTATTTTACGGGTAACGCCATGTGAGGGTTTAATGACGGTTCAAAGTGCTGCTTCTAGGTCTACAATTAATTTTCTAGCAACGATAAGCATAGTATTTTTATTATTAAAATTCATCTGAAGTAAATTTAACTAAATTTCACATGTTATACATATCATGATTCAGCGTCAACGAATACATGCAATCAAATGATTTTGTAATCAATTACATATTTCTTTCGATCACCATATATTCTAATAAAATATCTTATGGGATGTGATATTTTTCTTTCGAGTATAATTTGAACTTAAGTGATATCAAAGAAGAAAGTCAGGTAACATATTCAAGAAATAGCAAATAATTTTTTTCTGTTTATAATCTGTTTAATGTCTAACTTATACATGACTATTATATTTGGCTAAAATAGTTATTAATAATTGAGGTGCTTCAGAAAAGACTGACATATTCATAGGTGTCCATCTGTAAGCATAAACAAAATCTAAATGTAAACTATAACTACAATAAGGACAACATTCCTTGACTTTGCTACACTTTGAATATGTTAAATTTTGTACTATAGTTACATATTTGAGCAAGTTGATACAATCTTGTAATATAAATACTATTAATTATATGGAATAATACAACTCACACAATTGTATTCATCATTCACCTATTATTTCTGTTACGTTGTAGAAACTGTGTTTTTTAATTTTTTAATATTTAAAAGAATGCATTATTAACTTTGAATCACAGGTATGAATAAATTCATCGATTTATTGTTACATTCTTATCGTAACAAAAATGCATCGTTCTTGTAAAGGAAAACTTAAAAATCGTTGTTTATATTTTTTTTAACATTGTTTTTATACTTCGAGAATATAAAATAACATACGATTGTTACAAGAGTTGTGCGTAACTCCTTTTAATGTTTGTATCTATTTTATTTTTCTTCCAAGGAAAAGCCTTCCTCCTTCATTCCTTCTTTCCTTCCTTCCTTCCTTCCTTTTACTCTACCATTTTTTAAATAAAATCAGTTACGATCGTAGACATTACAGTGTTCCAGAAAATATTGCACATTCGAAAACCTTAATTTATTAAGCGATAATTACAACAAAACAGAATTTTAAACATTACGATTTATGAACTGCCATATTTTGTACAGTAATTGAATTCCTTTACAGTATTACGCTGATTCTGTATAAAATTGTAAAATTTTGTATGTTCTTAAATTGCATAAATTTATAGTAAATGTATGAATACTATTATTTTGTAAATTCTTGAATTTTGTAAGTTTATAAATTCATATACTATAAAGGGTCTAGCCAAATAAGCATGGTAGAAGTGCCTTCAAACCAAATTGAACGGGATTAATACCACTCGATAGATGGTTCGAAAAAACCCCTTTTCACAGAGTTTCAACCCGGTATCTCTACTACAGGGGTAATAACGGGGTGAAAATCATTTTTTGGTTTATCCTTAATATCTCCCGTTCTGCTCAATTAAAAATTATGAAAAAATCATGGTTATTCGATCGATTGATGTACATAGTCGAGAATTTTTTCAGAATTTTTGAATGCAAATTCGATTTTTAAAAAATTCGAAAATATTTTAACCGGCAATTTTTTGTCGAAGTTATCAAGTGACCACGTTTGTTTTTATACAGTATAAAGCTCTCAAAAAAACTAGTAATCTCTAATTTTTCAGATTTTTCGAAGGGGTGGAACGTAGTCATAAAAATGTTGAAAAAGCTTTATATTGCCTTAATTACTTACGTGACCATGTTCATATTTTTACAGTTATAGCGTAACATTATGACTATTAATGCGTAATTTTTTCAGATTTTTTAGAAAAGTGTTTTTGGAAAAATTGTTAAAGAATTATTCATTCATATTTCCTAATTTTTTATACGGCAAAAGGCCACACATGCTTTTAAAACAGATATAATTAAAATATATTTGTTTACATACTTTGTTAACTAGTCGCTATACATATATGTATAGTTTCAAATACGTGAGGTACCGGACTCCTGTTGATGATTTTGGTAAAGCATCCGCGATATTGCCAACATTTTGTCTGAATCTGAACAACATTATGTACATGAAGTTTTTTAGATATTCCTTAAATATTTTAGCTTTAATTAAAATAAATGATCTAAACAAGGTTTACCTCCTATTGCTACGTGCGGGGTAAGGGAGGATGATGGTAGGTGGTTGTGAGCGATTGCTCGTACCCCGGCGTAACGCTTAACACCTTCGAGTTCTCGAAGGAAACGTATGTATATGGGATCGGAGTTGATCTGAGCTTATACAAACTCCTCGCTCGTTGAATACAAGTCTGGGAAAATGTATATTAAAGAAAGAAACGAAATGAAATCGAAATTGATATATATGTATTTCGTGAAACAGAAGATCTGAAATTTGGCTGACGGGTACAGATAGATTACGAATTTCCTGCTCACCATACTAGCGCTGTGTTCTCTCTCTCTCTTTCTTTTCCTCTTTCACCTTGCACAACAGTCGTAGCTTGAATTTTGGGGAATTGCACTAAACATTTATATTACTAGTGAGAATATAATGATAATAATAATAATAACAATAAATTTTGAACAGAAAATGGTTAACGGGTAGTTAAAGTCCTTCGCGGATTGACCGACGAACTCTGCTTTACGAACTATCCGGGACAGACAGCACGCACCTCGCGACTTAATAACTGACTGCCCCGCACTGACCTAATTCTTGGGTTTTTAACCCATGCTTAAGTGCTGAATTTGCTTTGCTGACTTCTATGTGTAAGGTTATTGAAAAAGAGATAGGAATTTGATGACAATATTGACCCGCTTTACGAATCTCCGCGTGCAGGCCTCTTGAGAAAGAAAGAGGAATTCGATAACAATGCTGACTCTAAGGAAGTGTGAAATAGTCGCGGCTAGTGACCCGTTCGTCGGGACGTAACACTATTATTTTTATTTGCAGCATTAATAACTTGGTTTGTTCTTCAATCTTCATCGCTATCATCATTTATTACAGGATTTACTTTTTCACTCTCAAATAATTTACTCAGTATTTCTGCAAGTTTTATTATTTTTGAAGTATATGATAGATAATAAATTATCACAACTGTATGGGAACAGCATCCAATTGTCCTATTACCACTTGCATATTCGCAAAAATATCGTCTAATTCCGGAGTAGCCCGTTGAATTTGATGTAGACTATGTAGCACTTGTACAGTTTTTTATTAATGTGTCGTGATTGCACTTTGAACTGAACTATATTTTCATTGTTTTAGATAACAAAGAATTATATTTATAATATTGTTTGAGTTAGTCTCATCCCCATCTTCCTTTTTATCAGTACATAATGTTGTTCAGATTCAGACAAAATGTTGGCAATGTCGCGGATGCTTTACGAAAATGATCAGCGCATCCCGCGGCGCCGCGCCGCGCCGTGGCGGTTCTAATCAACAGGAGTCCGGTACCTCACGTATTTGAAACTGAGGGGGCTGGAGGTTCAAGTGACAAACCTCAATCTACCCCAACAATTATTAAAGAGTTTATTTCCGCGGGTGTCGGGGGTGTAGCCACACGTAGGTAAAATTGACACTATAACTGGCTTTGCAAACGCGCGACGTCTTAGCCAGACTGAGGTCTAAAATAGACTGGGCCTTTCTTCTTACGTCCCCTGAATATACATATACAATTTCTTACCCTAATAGCAAAGGTAGAGAAAAAGAGACAGGACAGAAAGACGGAAAAACGAAACTGGAAAATACTCAGTGTAGGAAAAGTTTAGCGAAAGAGAGTCATAAAAGTCAAGAGGCTCGCCGGGCCCGGATCAGGGTGGTCCGAGGCCCAGGCGAAACCTTGAGGGAAAACAGACGCCTCGCACGGCTCTGGTCGCCAAGTGTTTAACAGGACGACCAGGCTCGCACGAGACCCTGGGAAAATGGAAAAATAGAAAGCTTAAAACTATCCTTACATTCCATTCCCATTCATACTCTGGCAAGGGCGTAGTGGCTATACAATGGCCGCTACAGAAACTATACATATATGTATAGCGACTAGTTAACAAAGTATGTAAACAAATATATTTTAATTATATCTGTTTTAAAAGCATGTGTGGCCTTTTGCCGTATAAAAAATTAGGAAATATGAATGAATAATTCTTTAACAATTTTTCCAAAAACACTTTTCTAAAAAATCTGAAAAAATTACGCATTAATAGTCATAATGTTACGCTATAACTGTAAAAATATGAACATGGTCACGTAAGTAATTAAGGCAATATAAAGCTTTTTCAACATTTTTATGACTACGTTCCACCCCTTCGAAAAATCTGAAAATTAGAGATTACTAGTTTTTTTGAGAGCTTTATACTGTATAAAAACAAACGTGGTCACTTGATAATTTCGACAAAAAATTGCCGGTTAAAATATTTTCGAATTTTTTAAAAATCGAATTTGCATTCAAAAATTCTGAAAAAATTCTCGACTATGTACATCAATCGATCGAATAACCATGATTTTTTTCATAATTTTTAATTGAGCAGAACGGGAGATATTAAGGATAAACCAAAAAATGATTTTCACCCCGTTATTACCCCTGTAGTAGAGATACCGGGTTGAAACTCTGTGAAAAGGGGTTTTTTCGAACCATCTATCGAGTGGTATTAACCCCGTTCAATTTGGTTTGGGGGCACTTTTGCCATGCTTATTTGGCTAGATCCTTTTGTTAATTCATTTACAATCGTAATTAATAATCGTTAACAAATATTTACTCACGTAGCGTGATTGTGCGCGATCCATTCAGAGCTCCGTCTTCTTGGGTTAAATCGAACGACAGATTGACGTATGATGACCGATTATTCCCGACCAACTCCGATCACCACCGAATTGTCAATTCAAATTCTCGTCCATATTATTAATTAATATGATTACGAATATTTTGTAAATTGCTTAACAATCAAAGACAGTTTTTTGTACATACGGTATTCTGCGATTTCAAGAATAATGTATATCACTTTGTAGAAAATATATTTTATTTTTTGCTGAAATGCCGAATGTTTTACTACCCGGTTCGATCCTTGTTGGCACTCAACCGTTGTCCACAACTAGGTTACATTTTGTGACCTAGTATTATATATATATAATATAATATAATACATATGTATATTCACATCTCGTATAGATACCTTTGAATCTCCAAAAACATATATGTGTAACGGAACATCGACAGTATCCAAAGTCCGAAATTTCTTTCAGGATATTTTTCAACCCAAGCTATAGTCTCAGATTCTCGAAGTTATTAAAATACGCAAGATATCCTACTTCGTTTTATATAAATTGTAAATACATATTTTCATTCGATTCTTTCGTCGAATTTTCCCGCGTCTAATATAGACATTCTATACGACACAGACGCAATGCTTTCACGCGACCTACCTATCGGACTGTCCGATAGGTCACAAATGCGAGACATTTATTGGTTGATGGTTCCAGCATTGTATCTATCGAAAGCACGACGCATGCGTCGTCATTGTTCGGGAATATTCGCCGATATTCGGGTACATTCACGATCGCGAAAGACAGTGCACTTGAGAAAGCCCATCGCAGGCTGTCTCGGCGTGTATGTTCTGAATAGTTTGCAACATGTTAATGAGTTTTTACCAAGTTTTGATTAAAAATTCATGCAGTGCATACAGTATACGAAAGAAAATTAATAGTGCAAGACATTTACCCTCTTGATCGAGTATTTTTGTTAGTATTAATTGTGCAATAAGGAAGGTGAAGAACGATGCCAGGCAAAGGAGGCAGAAGAGGAAAATCCGGTAAAAGCTTCCTTATTTTTCCGACGGCTTTTCTATTATGTATCATTCGTCAGTACAATTATTGTCGAAATCACATTATGTAGATAATTGTTTAAATTACCAGTCTTTCCAACGAATGACTCATCTCGTACATAAATCTTATTTATTTCGTCTTACGTCACGGGTACTTTGTCGATTAGTGCGTTTTTCTTTTAACAACGCCGAATACACATACTTGATTCGTTTCGTGACTAAGAAATCATATATCGATTCACGGAATATCCGTAAGTATCTTGAAACGAGCCAATATCATGGCACCACTTCCTATACCCATGTGACTTCCATGCTTTTCGCACATGGGGTCTCTGGGTTAGGAACGAACAAATTTGATGTTTTAAATACTTAACGTAAATTTGATATATGAATCTTACAATGAAAGCATATTAACTTCGTTGATCGAATTTTTCGCATCATATTACAAGAAATCGAAATTTCTTGTACCATTTATCGATATTCATCATGAAAATAAAATAAGCGTTAATGGATGAATCATGCTTTTACGACAATCAACCATACTTCTTTTCGTATTGTTAGTGCTAAATTTAGATTGTCGCACACAATACATGATCAAATATTTACAATTTATTAAATTATTTTAACAAACGTCTTGGGATTTTATGATTTTACACTATTTACAATTACAAACGTTGCTTTTACGTTTTACTCTCAGCGACGATTAAGTTCAATCGCTTTCCTAGTTAATATCTTAATCAAATACTGTTAATATCTTTCGCTTGTATGTAGCCTGTTTTTTAAATTAGTTTTATATATTTTATTATAAGTTTTTCAAAAGGTGAACTTGTTTTAAAGAATGCAGTCCTAGTAATGAATAATGATGTCTTTTTCTTTCTTATAAATTAAAATTTAGAAAACAGTATTATCAATTTCAGTATCAGAATTTTCATTTTCTATGCAGCTATACTATCTTATCTGATATACTACATACAAAAGGATTATGTTAGATGTCAAGAGTAACAGCTGTTTAGGCTTTACATTATGTAACATAACATTCACTTTCAACAGCTGTTCACTTTTCCTTTCACTGTTTTTATAATTAACTCATAAATATTAATTTTCCAGTGTTAATAACATTTAATTTTTTGCTTGTTTTTGTTTTTTATTGCTATGTGTATCAATATTATATATTGGTATATATTTATATACTATTTGCTTAAAATTATTTTTCTCTCTTAACAATTCAAAGTTATTTTAGTTTTCTTAACATAGCAATGTATTCATTAAAAATTGCATGTAGCTATGCTTGCATGATCATTGAGTAATACTTTTAAAATATTATACAAGCTGTATAATAAAAAAAATACTTCTTGAACAGGTCATGGTGGAAAAAAGGCTGAATTAACATCTGATGAAGATTCGATTAATAATGATGCATGCAGCATATCCAGTAGTCAGTCTGATAATCAAAGCGTGGTGGATGATGTAAATGATAATGAAGTAGAAGAATTCTCACAACAGGAGGCATTTGAGGAGAAACTGAAAGAAGCTATAGATGGTCTTACACAGAGAAGCGCAAAGGGCAGAACAATTTGCTTTAATGGAATTGAAAAAATTTTTGCTACCAAGTATGTACCAGATTTTGTAGAGGATAGAAAAATGACCATCGCAGATTCTGTGGAACGGGGTTTGAAAAAAGGGCGTAGTGAAGAACAGTCAACAGCAGCCAGATTAAGTACTTTACTTTGCGTGCAATTGGGAGCATTTGAAAGTGCTGAAACAGTCTGCCGTGATTTAAAAAGTACTTTGACTTTTATCGCTGGCGACGCAACAGCTTCAACTCAAGCTCGCTTGGAGGTAAAACAAAATTTAATTTACTAATAAGTAATTTTAAATTAACAAGAATATAATAAATTTTAATAAAATTTACAGTGTTGTTGGGCTTTGAGCATGAATCAATTTTTATCGGGCAACGATGCAGTAGACACTATTGAAATTGTGCAATTACTATCGGGTATTTTTTCTGGCTCCTATTTGAAAGGAAATGGTGCTTTACCAAATATTTCGTCCAAAATGGCAGAGTTACATGCAGCAGCGATTTCATCATGGACGCTTCTTTTAACTGTTATGACTCCGGCTGATATATATAATTTACTTGCAAGCGATAAAACTAATACTTACATGCCGTAAGTATCTTTCCCTGTATATTTACCTGTATGACGTCGTACGTTAACATTGGCAGAACATGATAAACAAAAATCAATTTTATTTCAGTTCTCTGAATAGATTACGAGAATTACTAGAATCACCACATTTGGAAATACGATTATCGGCTGGAGAAGCTCTTGCTGTAATATTTGAACTTGGTCGTAATTTCTCTTGCGATTACGAACAAGATTGGTCATTGGATTTAATTGAAATACTAAAAGAATTGGCTACAGATTCTAACAAGTACAGAGCAAAAAAAGATCGAAAGCAACAAAGAGCTAATTTCAGAGATATACTTCATTACATAGAAGTATGTTTCGTAATGAAAATATTAAGATTTGTACATCACTGTCTGTATGCTATATATTATTAATTACCATTGCTGTAATCATTATTAGGAAGATGTTGTACCAGAGATGCATGTCAAATTCGGCCAAGAAATTCTATATTTAGAAGGATGGTGTGCACGAACTCAGTATAATGCATGTTGTAGACTATTGGGTCCGGGTATCAATATTCATCTTGCAGAAAATCAACTTTTACGCGAAATTTTCCACCTTGGTAATAAAGTTTTACCAATACCGTCGAATCAAAAAACTACTAAATTAGAAAGGGTAAGTTTATTATCGCGAAGGTATAAAGTGAATTGGTATTTAGTGATTCCATAATTAATGAGACGTTTCATTACAGACATTGATGAATGCTGCTGCATTTAAGGCGCGTACTATTCAACGCAATAAGAATAGAGATAAGCGATCAGCAGCCTTGGCACCGTAATTCAATTTTCTGCTTTTATATATTAGATTATTTGTTTTAGGATAATGCAAATTCTATTACACTTTTTATTTATTATAACTATTTGATCATGAGAAATTATTAAATACTGTTTTCCCTAATTGTCTAGTTTAAATTCTGAATGGAGATAAAAATAGATAAAATGAATTAGTTAAATTTAGTTTAATTCGATGTGACTAAAAATATGTTTTAATCTGATTTCAATTAGCCGTAAATAAATTGTACAATGTTACTTAATACTATTTAAGTTTTGTATATACGAAACAAAAATATGTATATATGATACACTTGGTACAATAACGATTTATATATATGTTTTCCTTCATGTAATAAAGTTATCGATATTGGTAAACGATTATGTAATGTTAAATAATGGTTATGCATATTGCGATAGCGTGTGCAGAAAAATCAAAATTTGTTTACATTACATATATATATGAAATTTGTTAATTTTAATAGTCGAGGTACAAATATTTTGACTAGTAAAATAACGTCTTATTTAAAGTGTACGTAAACTCGTATACTACATCTGATCATTCTCTCCTTAATTACATGTAATTATTTATGTAAGACATTTTATTAAAAATATATACTGGCATTGTACACAATTATTAAGTTATGACACAGCATAGGAATCTTGATTATATCACGTAATAAAATAAAGTGAAATACTTGCAATTCTTGTCATTTTATTACATTATATTTTTAATAGTGGTACAATTTTTGTACATAACAATCCAACATATATTTTTAAATAATTTATCTTATACATTTATATTTACATCACAGCTGATTCGAATAAGTGTAACGAAATTACACTAATTGCATTAGATATATATATATATATATATATATCTCTATTACATGTATCCTATAATTGTATAGCCGTGAGGTGATATTTATTTAATAAAATGTCATAGGCATTTTGTTTAAATACGAATACCTCTGAGAATATAAATAATACCTTTTTTGTAATGAAACGTATTATGTAAATACTTATTTAAAACTTGGTTTATCCTTACTTAAATTGTATACATATATATAGAGTTAAAGTAATTGACTAGAGCTTCCAGTGTAGTCAGAATTATTGGTATGGTAGAAGGAAAATGATTCCAAATATTACCGCGAAAGCTGTAACAAAAATGACATAAAATATAAATTTGAAAAAAAACCAAGTTTGGTAACAAATGTATTAAAAGCGTAAGTAAATAACCTCGAATTTTTAAGAACTGAAATATTAAATAATGCTAGCATATAAATTACAATCGATCGATATATCGCGTATGCAACAAGCTATCATCTGATCAATACTATAATGGTGATTAAATTTATAAAATAAAACGGAAAATATACTGACGTGATGCTATCCATATTCTTTCTTGTCCAGAATGTTGGCTTCCGTTGTTATCCATATGATTAATCGATTCTATGGTTGGCGCACGTGTTGAAGTAATCGTTAACGTAGACATTTTTGTTAATTTTCCTCCAACTGTTGTAGTAGGAGCAGTTACTGCAGCAGTTGTTGGAGCAGTTGTTGGAGCAGTTACTGCAGCAGTTGTTGGAGCAGTTATTGCAGCAGTTGTTGGAGCAGTTGTTACAAGAGTCGTAGTAGTCATTGAACCACTTGTCGGCTTAGGTGTTTCTGTGATCTCATTAATATTGTTCCGATAAATTACTCTACCATTTAGTGGCTGCACTGGACGGAAATTATGTGTCACATTTTTACCATCTGAGGATTGAATATTGCGGAATGCTGCCAACTAAAAATTAATGTATTATTACTTATATTGTTAAGTATTCTTAATAAACGTATTTTTACGTAGATGTTTTTTAAATTATTTGGCCAAACTTTGTAAAATTTAGTATCCAAGGAGATAACTTTCTTTTGGAAGACACTTTTTCTGACATTGAAGCTTAAACGACCGTAACTTCAAGGTACCTACATAGTGTTTACGAAACATATTTGCACCTCTTTTCATGTTTACAGTTAGTAAACATTAAAGTTAAGCCAAATGTTTTAGAAATACACCATTCATAAAAGTTTATCCATTACATTAAATGTAACAACTTTCGAAATACCTGATCATGGGATATGGGCAGCGGGTCTATGAAGTCGATCCATTGAACGATCTCGAGACAAGGAGGCGTGGTTAACGATCCTTTGTACGTGTAATAATTTTGTGCGGATACAATGTCCGGTGCAACCAATTTATTTAAGACACTAGAATCATCTATTGTTATAGTACTGCCAGCTGTCTCTATTTCTGATATTCGGGAAACGATCGAATCGAAAATTGGATTTGAATCATCCGTGGTCTGTAACAATATAAATTTTTTTAACAAAATCTTTGTACGAATCAAACTTACAGCGAAACTAAACGGGGCCGCATTTTTCATTTCTGAGTAAACATTAAGCATGATCAAATACATTTGTTGAAAACGTAACCGTGCGAAACGAAATGTACAAATCCTAGCCGATGTGTTTAAATATTTCTATTTTTACGAAACAGGATCACAAACGCACAGATCTTCTCTTTTTTGTGCATTTATTTTTGTTTGTGTTTGTTGTGTAAAAAATATTGTTCATCTCATACTTCCCTATTTCTTTCATCAATCTGTAATTGCATTTCGATTTCGTAGCGTCAGTCGCATCCTTGAAGAGGACCAATACGTTGTGTTATAGTGGTGCTCACATAAGTGACTGGATTTTTGCTCACATAAATGACCAGAGTTATCCCCACCAATTCTTAAAAGCTAAGCGGCTTCGAATATCGAGCGTGTCAAGTGAAACTTGACGCTGGTCGTTATCGATACATTGTATACAGAGTGTTCGGCCACCCCTGGGAAAAATTTTAATGGGAGATTCTAGAAGCCAAAATAAGACGAAAATCAAGAATACCAATTTGTTGATTGAGGCTTCGTTAAAAAGTTATTAACGTTTAAAGTTCCGCCTGTAGAACCGCAATCTGCGAACAGCTGCGTATACGCGATAGTGGTTCTCATTCAAAAAACTGTAAGGCTGTCGATGAGTCAGTAAGTAAAGTTTCTCATGCTGAGTGAGAACCACGCAGATCGCCGTTCTACAGGCGGAACTTTAAACTTTAATAACTTTTTAACGAAGTCTCAATCAACAAATTGGCATTCTTGATTTTCGTCTTATTTTGACCTCCAAAATCTCCCATTAAAATTTTTTTCCTGGGGTGGCCGAACACCCTGTATATGGTTTCGGTCGGGTGCCAGCTATTGTATCTCACTTGCACTTATCTTCTTTCCTTATCTCTGTTGAATTCTGAGAACTAACCATGCCCACATAAATGACCGTGGTCGGTCCCGAGCTTGGTCTTTTACGTGGGCACTACTGTATCTGATGATATCTGATATCACACGATTTGAATGTTTACAGAAGGTGTTTGATTGATACCTGATATAAATATCCTAGAACGGTGAGACCGTCAGAATGTTTCATCGCTTCATCCGCAGTTTCGTACGATTTTTTCCAGAAAACGGCATGAAGTTCCATCGAAAATGAATGATTATTGATAAGATCCTCGGATCCGATTCTGTCGTTTTGGCCCCAATGGAAATGCAGTTGTTGAAAGGTGTACGTATCGTTGATTGGTCCCCCTGATATCGTGGGTAACTCGGTATCGACACTTTTGATCATCACTAAATGAAGAAATCAGTCCTTGTGATTATATGTATTGATGCATTATACTTGCTAAAATTATTTGTTTCCTAAAGGTCATTTCTTCCCGATACACGGGATTCGCTGAAGGTTTATCATAATTACGTTGAATTGACGTCTACGGCATGCAATAAGCGACGATAATTTGCAGCTGTTCAAGGATAAGAGACACATATAAAGTACGATTAAACCAATTGAAGTGACTAATATCAATATGAAATAATTGTATTTCAAAATTTATTATTTCTAAATTCTTGTATAAAAGGTAGTTGTTTAAAAAGTTTAAAAAATTGAAGTTATTCTTGATCAATTCTCTAGTAGACAATGAGTAGAATATTTCGTGTGAAGTTCAGTTTAATTTTGGAGGGAAAGAAAGGAGTATCAGTTTTATTCGAAAGAAAATTGTATAGAGGAGACTAAGTATATATTTAGAATGAAACAGTAATGAGTAATATAGTCGTCATAAAATTACAATGGGCCGAAGGAAATACCAAAAATTCGAAAATACTATTTGTTCGAAACGCATAATTCCTGTTACCGCGCAAACAATTTTCGAGTTTGGCAAGATGGCGTAACAAGCAACAGGTGTATTCTTAGAAAATGATAGGCAGCATAATATAAAGATCAGTTTTATTTTGTTTCAATTTCAGTGGTTGACGGAACAAATACTTACTGACGATAGAAACAAATTACTGGCAAGATAAATACTCGGCGTTCAAAATTCTCCAAGGTTTGTAAATTGATCTACTTAAATCTAAAAATCTACGCAATTTTCGCGGGTGCTTATTTAACTGTTAAAGAGCCACAGTTGGTTCGACTCAAACGGATTAATGACGTTTGAATTAAAGAGATACGTTTTGATTTGTCCTAATGTTTATTAACAGTTCGAAAACAAAAGTTGTATCAGTTTAACGTTCTTCTACTTTAGGAACGATTTAAGGTAGGAATTTTAGCGTGAGATAACTTAACTACTCGTCCAAAATTTCGCTTCGATAACTGTGCAATGATGCCAGATTTCTTAACCTTAAATAACCTATGTGTGTGGTAAATTTCACGGTTTATAAGAATACGTGTTGAGACACAGCGGATAAACTCCGTTGCATTGTGTTGTTTAAAATTTTCTAACTTCGACTAAATATTCTAAGCGACTTGTAATTTCGCAGTGTTTTTAGTGACTCTTATTATTTAATACGGAATTATAAAAAATTGTCTTTTAAAACCACATTTCCTTCCAGCTGGTCTAAGTGGGATTGTTTATTTTGATTGTTTAAGAAATGATGTTTATAAATTAAAGTATGATGTACTCTTGTACATCAAACATAACATATGATTCATGCACGATGGTATTGCATGATGCTACATTTCCTTCATGCAGCGAGAACATTTTTGAACAATACCGTTGCAAAATAATAAATAGGGCAAGGTAGACCCAATCTCTTAGATTTCTATCTTTGGGATTATATAGCCAAGATATTTTCTAGGTATTTTCCAGGGAGTAAGAAATTCAATGTTGAAACATATAAGAATGTGTATTGAGGCATATTGACTATGACATTTTGTTGTTACATTATTGTATTAGTGATTTAATTTGCATAGGATGCTGGGCTATAAGTTGTAGAGTAGACTAAACTGGTGAAACAAGAATAAGATTGACTCCAGTGTCTTAAGAACTATATTCAATGATTACAATAACAAGAGTTCAAAAGAACTGGTAAGAACATTTTTGCTAATTGTCCAAGTATCTTCCACAACTAATGTTTGTTAATATGCTAAACAAAATAATTTGTTTGCAGCTGGATGTGAATAAACAAAACTATGAGGTACAAATCAAGAATAATCAACTCTGAGCAACAAGCAAATAAAATAATGTGAAGGAAGGAAGATAATATCATGAAGGTTAGTTGATTTTTCTGTGGTTTATCTAAAATTTTAATAATTATACTCACCAGAGCAAGACTATTTACAACAACATAGTATCTGTGTTAATAATTATTTGTTTATGATCTGTACACTACAGTAGATTTACAAATTTAAGATGTAGTAAGATCTATAAAATAGAAAGCATATAATTTAAGCAGATTTTGTTTATTTAAGATATTTAGTATTATTCTGCATGCTGCAATAAATATCTATACAATGGTCTATGCTTGTGATTATACTTTATCAAGGAAAGAAATCACGAAGTTATAAAATAGACGTAAATTATCGTACGGATTGATCAGATTTCCATTAATGTAGACAGCATTTACAATTTTCGTGCTCTAAATTGTGAAATAAACGTATAAAAGTATAGATTTTATTCGGGTTCTATTTATTTAAAATAAACCTGTGATTATCCTGTGCGGCGGAATGAATTTATTTACGATCATCTAAATGTTTAGTAATGGTTGCTCTTAGTTTCATGCATTACAAAAAAGGGTACTACGAAATTGAGTTTGTAAAATAAACGCGAAAAATCGTAGACAATGATTTGACTTTAGTTGGTTCAATTAGTACCGAATACTGTGTGTGTCTGTTTAGATTTGAAATAATACGACAAAAATAATAATGAGAAACAAAAAAAAGATTTTAATTTGTTGGACAGTGTAATGAAACTATAGCCGAGGTATATAATAGGTCTAACATTTTATGAGATTTTGTACTCGCAGTGATACTGTGTTACCGACTCATAATTTGTGGACTGAATACAGCGTCCTCTGTTCATAAATACCGTCCAATTCATGAACTACTCTAAAACGTGTTGAAAGTTTAAGGGTGCATACGTGTTGTATATGTGTGAATTCTTTAGAGTGGGATTTGATAGAGGTGGCCACTTACTATGGTTCGCTTAAACACGGCTTGCCAAGACTCAGAGATACAGATTTCTTTCCGAAAATATATTCAAGGAGATAAAGAGATGATATAAAATTCTTTTATATTATTTAGTTAGTCGAGAGTGTGAGGTGTCGTGGAAGAAAAAGTATTAAAAGTATATACTTTCGGAAACCATTCGATCGACGCTTTCTTTTTTAAATATTATATCCGCGATTGTAAATTTTGTAGATACTTTCGTGCTAATATAAGTTTCTTTCGTATATACTGATTACCATTTAATTGAAACAAATGATTAAATTGCACATCTTGCAACTAGAATTTCACCTTGTATTACGGAGAGTTAGACTTGACGTTTTAACACGTTGACTGCCACGTTAAATTCGCGCGTTAAGTCCCACCAAGCTACGGTCTTCTGAACGCCGTGCACGTATAATTTAATGAAACGATTGACTGTATTCGGTCATACTACCCCATCTCTACTCAATGCCTAGTAATATAATCTTAATCTTTTCTTATGTAAGCTTTGAAGTCGATGTCTCACGTTCAAAACTATCTACTTTCAAAGGTGAATGTAACGCATAACGATCGCACGTTTCCTTTTTATTGGAACGAAATTTTAGTTTTGAAAATCGGTATCGAAAATAAGAGCTCTTTCACACGAGCAAGCATAACAGCCTCGTGGTGGAAGTTGCCTCATCGGTTATAAGGCCTGTTTCCGTGTGTCCTACTTTAAGTAGTACTCTTGAGAACAAAACTTTCCTTGTGGAAACCAGGTACAAGGAGTACCAGATATTATTTTTCAAGCGAATGTACGCTTTTTTACTATAAAAAACGAAAGGAACAATGAGAAAGGAAATTACAGCTAATTGCCTTGTATGTCCTGCACGCCACTGCTGTGCTTAGATTAGAACTCCTTATGCCTGATTTCACTGCAGAGTTTTGTTTTCAAGAGTTGCTATTGAGATTTTCTGGCGAGTGAGGCAACTTATACTACACTCCCTTACAAAATTATAAGTCGTGCAAGAATATGGAGGAAAAATGTATTTTATCGATGATTTTCTGCTTCTTTTATTCCGAACGTTAATGTTTACTTTGTGTAGAACTATGCGCTATACAAAGATCAGTTGTCAATCCTTCTGTATTGGGAAATGGTTGAAAACAGTTACGATATCAATTTCGGTTTCGAAACAGTTATAGGAATCGAAATGATAGTGTAACAGTTAAAAATAAAAAAGTTTTTGATGTATATTGGTTCTGAAACGGTTCTAAAGTGTTCTTAAGTTAATTATACTGGGAAAAATTTTAATGTGAGATTCTAGAGGCCAAAATAAAACGAAAATCAAGAATATCAATTTGTTGATTGAGGCTTCGTTAAAGTTAAAATTAAATTAAAAAATTTCAAATCGTTCTAAAAAAATTATTTTAAGTTGCGGAGGTCAATTACAATCATTTTTGGCGAATAGACATACCCCCGAAATCCTACCCACATTCGAGAAAAAAATTCGAGAAGGTGTGAAATTTTTCGACGAAATTGAAAAGTTTCTAATCATTTTGAAAAAATTATTTTCGGTTGCGTGGGTCAATTGCAATCATTTTTGGTGGATAGACACACCCCCGAAATCCTGCCCACTTTCGAGAAAAAAATTCGAGAAGGTGTGAAATTTTTCGACGAAATTAGAAAATTTCAAATCGTTCTGGAAAAATTATTTTCGGTTGCGGGAGTCAATTACAATTATTTTTGGTGGATAGACACATCCCCGAAATCCTACGCACTTTCGAGAAAAAAATTTGACTATGTGGACAAAGTCGACAAAATTAGAAAATTTCAAATCGTTTTGGAAAAATTATTTTTGGTTGCGGGGGTCAATTACAATCATGTTTGGCGAATACACGTACCCCCGAAATCCTGCGTACTTTCAAGAGAAGAATTCTTTACCGAAAATATACTGTGTGACTGGAAATGTTTCTATAACTTTTTAACGAAGCCTCAATCAACAAATTAGTATTCTTGATTTTCGTCTTATTTTGGCCTCTAGAATCTCCCATTAAAATTTTTTCCAGGGTTGGCCGAACACCCTGTATATTCAAGCTGTTAAAACTTTTCGTTTATTTCGTAATTTACGAACACAACCGCGCATGTCCTTAGATTCTTATAAACGTGACAATGATTGTCGTGTTCGTGCGTGCCAATATTTCGATCTTGCTAACTCATACCTGTGTGCCCATTGTTCGTAAGATTAGCCTTATGAGGATTTTGGAGATTAGAAAATTCTAGCGGTGGGTAACTGGCCATCGTAACGTCCTTTGCTTCTATGTCGATGGGGGATTGTTGCTTTCCTAAACAGGCTTTGTGGCTGTCACCCCAATGCGACGGGCCTAGAAAGAAAAGAAAGAAGAATGCTTTCTAGGCTTTATCCATTAGAATACTTACGTGATTATCGTAGTTTAATTTAAAATCTATACGTACTCCTAGATACAGAACAGTTGTTATGTGTTTGATAGTTGAACATTTTTTCGTAATTGTTTACATTTATTTTTAGTTATCAAGTGTGGACATAATCTTAAGTTTTGTTAAATGTGTCTTGCAAGGTTAATTATATTGTGGATGATTTATTATGTTCTATGTAAATTAACAGGTTACCTTTAAACGTTATTATTCTTTTGCTACGCTATTTATACCGTACATCCGAAGGATGTCACTCATAAATATGCTAAACAATATTGATAAAATGACTGTGTCTTGTTGTAATCAGTTCTGGATGTTAGAAGGCATAATGGACATGGTATGCCCCTAGGTAGAGTTTTTTTTTATCATAGAGCATATTCTAAATCATTTTTACAAGGTCTATCGAATGTATTTTCTTTTTCCTCGCTTTCAAGCGATGAAATATCTCCTCTCTCCTTTCATTCGCTAAAAAACGGTTGAGACACGAGAGTCGATGGTGAAGTTACGATTACTTCTTCAATCCGTTGTAAAAGTTTTCACTTGAAAACCAGTATTAAACCAACATACTTCAATGTTACTAGCATCAGTTAGGTCGTTATTATTGTAAATAATTGTCAACTATTTTATGTTTTATTACAACAAGACTGTTCATTTTATTGTATATTTTCATCGCATATCACATGCCAAGTGATATCGCAAAAATAGGCATTAATATATAGAGTGTATCGAAATTAAACGATGAAATTGCTCCAATTTATCATGTACGGATAAGGGAAAAATATTGAACGCGAAGAGGATAATAACATACTTGTTATTTCACATTAAAAGGTAAGAATAGGTCGTCGATATTTGTTTGCTACTTGAGGTCGTTGAAAATAATCAATATAACTTCTATTAATCACTATAATTCTGTTTCGAAATGCCAAGTGCTCTTATCAATACAAGGCTGTCATCGTTGAAAAATTGTATTTTGTCCTTTTGTTATAACTTTCTGTTCAAGTTTTTGCGAGCCCACGATTATATGTAATTTCTCCATCGTTTTCACTCGTGGAACATATTGGAGTAGTTCGATCGTTTTGCTTGGAGACACCCTGTACATCGTGTTGAACGCATTCGAAATTATCAAACGAGTTTTTGTAGTTTCCAAATAAATCGATATCGAGCGCGCTCGAATAATTTATTAGCTATACTAGGATTCGTGATTCACTCACCGTCGTCTCCATCGTAGCCGAAGTCAGCAGAAACAAGGTCTGAAAGAAAAGTAAATGAATTTATGAACACGGTCAATTTGCACATTATAGCACGTTCCATAAATTTTCACGTCGAATCGGATCCTGCTACTAATTAGCTGTACGTACGCGCGTAATTCACCGGCAATTGTGGGAATCTTATTATCCTTGTCGCGATTGAATTCTGACGATTATGGAAAACTTGGACCGAGATTAAAAGGGGGGAAAAACGTAAAAAGAATTCTCAGGCCCCGGTTGACGGTGTTAACATTCATTGGAGAGACAATTGAATTAAACGTAGAACGAAAATTGCGACGGCGACACGAACAATGCTTGTATTGCAATCGAAAGTGTAAACACGATGATAGAACCAACAATAGTTTCACACTGTGCGAGAGGCGTCTTGATAGTCCGGTGAAAGTAGACTCGCGAAAGATACAAACTGGCCACGGCATTGCATTCAACTCGTCACAGATGAATTATTCTAGTCTCCTTATTAGAGGTTGTTGTCGTGGTTCGAATCAGCTTTCAAAGAAAAATATCGATTTGTTACTACGAATTCGATTACTGTCTTTACACACCATTGCCTCTACTCTTGTGTAAATTATTTATAGTTTTTGATAATACATGTCGCCCCGACGTTCCATCGGATATTAAAATATAATCGATGTATGCAACAAGGAGAGGATATTTTTATACATCAAGTTTGGTTATTAAGAATGCATACAGGATGTTATTGGCGGTATAACCAGACGAGGGTCAATTCCTTATGAAAAAATAAGTTGAAAAGAAAGAATCAAACCTTTTAAGATCGCGCTAGGGGCACGTGCCCCTTTGCCCCTGTCTTGTTATAATTCTTTCAGCGTAAGAATAGTTTCATAAATATTTTTAAACTATACTTGTGTCGATCGCTATCGCTATGGATAGTCGATATAATAAGCAATTTAAATTAAAGAAACATGTTGTAGCATTAATTACGTAACATTTTTTTATTCCCGATGTGTGATTCATTTTTTAAAATCAGATGTGTAGTTTGTTTTCTAGATTGCAAATCTTCTAATTAATTGCAGCAGATTAATAACACGGCAGCAAGTGATTTTATTATAAAAAAGTTGGAAACTACGTTGGCACAGTTTATGTATGAACTGTGACTATTTTACGGAAAATTACACCTTTTCTTTTAAACATAATCTTCATCTGCTTTACATATCCAGATCTGAGCATGTGTATCCGATAACATAGTTATCATTGGTTTCGTAACACGTTATTCTTCTTTCTGTTCATTATTATTGTATGTGCTTCAACACTGATGACAATGAACGAAAGTGTACAATCCATTGGCCTACATTTTAAACATACTTTTCTTGTGTATTTGAAACTTGATTACGCAGGAAATTAAATTTTTCCATCGAAGACAAATTTCGTATTAATTTTTAACATCACGCAATAATGTAAATTCAATTAATAGATTCGAAGACATGTTAATGTAGATATTGATATCGAACATTGTAACTATAATGCAAAACAACTGATGGTTGGCGTTACCTTCTTTCGTTTTCATTTATCAAAGGTCACTTTATATCAAGCCTATAATTCCCTAATGACAGTAAGAATCGCAGTATTGTTACTATATGTATACGCGCAGTTTGTCATGGAAATATAATTACACCTATTGAATGTGATAACTAATGTGAAAGTACTTGTCTGATACAAATTGACTTTTGAACAATGAACATGAAACAAGGTAATATCACACATCAGCAGTAGCGAAAGAATGCATGTGGAGCAAATCGTGTCGAATAACCGAACTCCGAAACCATGCTATTTCTAATTTTGCCTATTTTATTTCAAGTAATTATAACTACTTCAAAATTTCTTCAACCTTTTTCAAACTTTCGCTTTTACAAACTTTTGAGCAATTAAACGTTAATAAATAAACCTGGCAAACTTATTAATAATAGTAAAACCAGATACAATAGTAAGATTAACATCATGTAATTGTATCTATTGATATTAAACATTGTTATTTCGATGTAATCGATGACTGTTTAATGTCACCTGGTCTCGTTTTTATTTCTCGAAGGTCGCTTCATATCAAGCATGTAATTTTCTTACGATAGTAACAAAAGTTTGTGTTCTTGTTACAACACACGTCACTCATATAAATCTACATAAACAAGTTCGATATGATATTGTAAGCAAAAGTGCTTGCTTTCTATGAATTGACCTTTGGGAAATGAATGAGATAGAAGATAGCAACACCCATTAGTTATTTGCTTTAAAATCAATTTGTAAGGTTACAATATGCAATAAGTGACAAATAATAATGGCAGTATTATTTTTATGAGTCGCGACGGAATGTATGCAAGCTTTTATGAAAAAGAAATTTGATGATTATTAAAATAATATTTATTTTTGTTCACGTTATTTTTTTACATTAATAGATTTTTGAACATTGACGAAATATTTAAATTAAAAATTTCTCTTTTAGACAGTGTTGGAATAATTTTAATTGCTATTACATTATTTACTTGTATCCGCATATTTTTAATATTGCTGTATTTTAATAACACTGAAGTCGTATTGATTATAACATGCTAATAATGATAATTAATAACATAAAATTAATAAGATTGAAAAAATATAATTTTATATGTATATTCATGAAGGCATAAATTAAGAACTGCAATAAAAATTCAATCAATAAGATTGGATATATATAGTTTTACATATTGATAATGAACCCTCTTACCTAAACGTAAACAACTGATGTTTGATATCACCTTGTTGCGTTTTCATTCCTCAAAGGTCACTTCATATCAAGCTTGTAACATTCTTGTGATGGTATCGAAAGTTTGCATTCTTGTTACTACACATGTCCAATCACTCGCACAAATCTACATACGTTTGTTTGATATGATACTAAAAGCAAAAGTACTTGCTGCATATGAGCTGACCTCTGAATAAAAATGAAACAAGACACTATCGCACAATAATTGTTTACCGTAAAAAAATATTACAAGCTCGCAGATAATCGTAATTCACGAAGGTAAAAATGAATAACCGCGAGAAAAATGTATATGTTTCAAGCTTTTTCGAAAAAAAAAATAATTCAAATAAATGTATATCGACGTTGGATTTCATTTTGTGCATTACTCTAAAATTGAATGTATTCGACTGTAAAAATGAGTAGCCACTGAATTTATGTAAATTCGAAGCTTTTCTAGAAAAGAGATTCGACGCTGCCGGAATACCGTTATCAGTCGTAGTAATTGTCCGAGCGACGCGTTATGGATAATTCATGAACCAGTGATAAATCTGCGGTGCATAGCGAAAAACGAAACTGACCACTTCCTTACGCACAGTAAAGACGCTTCTCGATTACCGGTTAATGAGTCAGCCTGGTAAAGTTCCCTTCCCCTATCTACAAAGATAAATCGCTCGTACCCGTGCTTCCAGGTCTTACGCACATGCTTGACACGTGCATCGAATGACGAACATTTGCTTAGGACGGGGACGTTGTTTCCAGGCGAACTTAGACGTATACTATTATATGCAGGAGGTCCTTTCAGCTGGGTTTCGAGGACTGTAAACTAATTTAAACCGAATATCGCCCGTGAACGTCTGACGTCATTGATGTCCTCTATAAATACGGCATATTTATTGCTGCAAATGCGGGGCAAATGCTCGTAAAATATACCGTGACATCCAAGGATGACGATCAAAACAAGGGCACGTACACTGCACAACGATCTAGTACTTCAATGCGAATTTCTTTTTCTGCGGGGAATATTTGAAACGTACGATCTGTGCGTCATTGCATTGTACAAAAACGCGTTTTTGGCTACGAAAAAAGCACAGGAATCACAATCATAACAATAGCATAATAAGCAAGCTTTATACTTGATTCATTTAAACGTTTCAACCGTATCTCGTTTCGGTTCTTTTTACCAGAGGTGGCCGCAACTCAATTCGAATAATAAATAACAAAAAACGTCAACGTGTAGCGAATTATTCGCAATGTCTAATATTTCATTTTACACTTCAAATTCCAATTTTAATTCAATAAATTAAATAGGGAAACTCCTGAAACAAATGCACTTTTTCTTATTTTATTAAAAAAGTTATAGTATTGTAAATATGACCTACTAAGAAATCAAATATAGTACAGTGAAAACTCGATAAATGTCGCTACTCCGGGTCCGGTCAGCAACACTTACGGAATAGGAGAATCGTCTTTCGAATTTGATTGTAGTTTGCCGACGCTTCGAACGTAGAAAGAGTTAGTAGCTAAAGAAGAAAGAGGGACTGAAACTCGGATTTATCGCCCCAGTTTAAATATCCGCGTCAGTGTGACCACACTACTGCACAAAAGAAAGTTTTTTATTTTTTACTTTTTGTTAATAAAAATTTCACTATCATGTTGGGGAGATTTCTCTGATTAAAATGAGGCTAAACACGATATAAATCGGTCAATATTTGGTAGCATAATATTTAATTAAATATTGTACTTGCGAGTCTTTCTCTCTTTATTTATCCTTCTTGTGCTGTCCTTTTCTATGTTCGGAAATATCAAAGAACGACGCATCGAGGTGCTGGCTACATTTATCGAACGGGAGGTAGCTATTTTCAAACGGGACGGTTCCACCGTTTCGTAAGTGATCAAAAACTGCAACACTTATGAAATAGGGGGTTTCGTTAGCTACCACTGTTCGATAAATGTACCAATCCACTGACCTTGCGAAGATACGAGTACACAATATTTAATTCAATATTATGGTAACAAATATTGGCCGATTTATATCGTGTTTAGTCTCATTTTAATTAGAAAAATCTTTCCCACATGATAGTAAAATTTTTATTAAAAAAAAGTAAAAAATAAAAAACTTTCTTCTTGTACAGTAGTGTGGTCACACTGGCAGGGACATTTAAACTAAGATGACGAAGGCAATAAAGATTTTTAAAGAAAGCCGCTACGTCTCCGGTTACACTTCGCCTCACTGGTTCAAGGGGGATCCCCC